TATTGTGGTGAAGCCCCCATGTCTGGAAGTCCTGCTGCTTCCGCCACAGTCTTCGTCCCGGTTTCGGTCTCCCTCGGATTCATCGCATCACGTTTCGACCCATAGATATTCTAGCCCAGGAGCTGAAGAGGCGGAGGAGGAAGGAGAGCTGGGGAGAGAAGAAGAGGGAGGAGCCGCAGTCACAGAGGGGTGGGCGGGGGCAAAGGGGGTGGAGAGAGAGGAAGGTAAAAACGGTGAAACCGGATTGCAGCACTAGCTATTTGCCACCAGAGGCACTAACACAGCCTCCTGGCTTCGACTCTCCCAAGGGCCTACAGTTACCTAGCTACAGTGCTGAAACAGAGGAGGCGGTCTCACTGGCTGCCGACGCTCTGGCAGCCGCCTTACAACTCTGTGGTGGCGGTGGCTTCCGCGAGCTCGGGATTGGCTTGCCCTTCCTGTGAGGTCAGTCGGGCTGTTTCCGGTGGAGGACCCTTCCCCCTGAGGTGATCTTGAGAAATTTGTGAGGGCCTGACTTGACTCTACTGCTTCCTTCAAACACTAACAATCTGTTTGTTTCTCTCTCCTATTTTTGTACTAAATGAAAATGCTGTATTAACCAGAGTCCTAGACTAATAAAAATATCTTCCGGTGCTGAAAACTTCCTGAGAATTTTGCAGTCAGCCTTGAAGCATTTTCCCTCTTCTGAAAGTTCAACATAAGCTATATCTTATTCACATAGGCTAGTTTTCTGTTGTGTTTTCAAATATTGTCGAAGTATATTATCCAAGGACTTTTTTTTTTAAAGACAGGGTCTTGGGCGGGGGATTTAGCTCAGTGGTTCTGCCACCTGCCTTGCAAGCTCAAGGACCTGAGTTCGATCCCCGGTACAAAAAAAAAAAAAAAAAAAAAGACAGGGTCATGCCATTTAGTCCAGGCTCACCACAAGTTCACCATCCTCCTGTCTCAGCCTCTGGAGGGGGTGGGGGCGCTGCAGAGGTGGGCCACCAGAAGCGAAGAACCAAGGATTTTTAAATATTTCAAGCCCATCAGAAATCGGATATACAGTAGAAGTCAGCTCTCTACAGGTTCAGTACTACATTTATTTAATATATAAGATCAGTATTGACTGTTACTATTGGGCTTCTTAAACTTTTAAGTGATCAAAGGGTTGGTATAATAATTGACATGTGTAGTAAACTGAACCTTTTTCCTTCCCTTCTCACCCCATGCCTTGACCAAAAGAATTAATAGAAGCTGTTCGGGCGTGGTGGTGCACGCCTGTAATCCCAGCACTTGGGAGGCTGAGGCCAGAGGATCGCTGTGACTTTGAGACCAGCCTGAGCTACATAGTGAGTTCCAGGTCAGTCTCAGTTACATAGTGAGACCCTGTCTCAAAAAAATAAAAACAAAAACAAGTCAGATAATGAGATATATGCTAGCTAAGTAATTAAAAGTTTAGCAAAATGCCAGAACAAGGGCCGGGGATTTAGCTCAGTAGTGCCTATTATTTTTTTATTTTCTTTTTATTTATTATTTTTTTTGAGACAGGGTCTTGCTATGTAGTTCAGGCTGACCTTGAACTCACTATGTAGCTCAGCGTGGCTTTGAACCCTCCACCTCACAGTGACCATCCTGCCTCAGCCTCCCAAGTGCTAGGTCTACAGGCATGCACCACCACAACTAGCCTGAATAATTTTATAGTTGAAGTATAATTAACATTTATCAAGTTATTACCATATACAAAGCACTTTAAATCCTTACATTAACTCTAGATGATAGATTAAACTGTTATTATACAGATAATAAAATGACTATTTCTTTGGACTTCTCACATTCTGTATACCTTATGCCATACATGTACAATGTGAATAATAAATAGTACATGCCATGTATACTTCACAAGAATTGCTGTAAAAGTCATGTAAGAATATGTGTCCCATTTCAAAATTGATGTGAGACTATTATTTCAGTGATTGCCTCTGTACCAGTCTGGGTGCAGTCAGGAGAGAAAAAGCACATAATAACTTGAACAGAAGAAGTTAAATTTAAGAACTAGCTGGGCTTGGTGGTACATGCCTCTAATCCTAGCACTTGGGAGGCTAAAGCAGGAGGATCAGTGTGAGGTCAAGGCTAGCCTGGACTAGATAGTGAATTTAACTAGTAAAAAGTAAAGAGAATTTTAAAGAATGTAGAATAGCAGATGTAATAAATAGTAGATGTGACAGGATATATAGGAGATATGTTAGTACTCCCTAGTATTGAAATAGAACACCTTCCACCCCTACTCCCTTTCTAGAGCTAAGACTCAGGTCTTTTTGGAGAAGGTACAGCCAGCAGAGGCTCCCTGAATGGCAAGAAAGAGGCAATAGTGCCTTGCAAAAAAAACTTTCTGAAACTCCAACCTTCAGAAATTACTGGAATTCTGCCTTCTGTAACTTGCTGGAAAGCCACCCTCCACAATGGACTAAGTGCCTAACAAAGATTTATAAGAAAGTCTCATCAGAGGCACTTTACTCCCAACACCACCAAAAGGAGAATACCAGAAGAAGTTACCTAGTACTGCTGAAATTGTACCACAGAAGACAGGCCCTGGAGAGTGCTGTGCCAGATTCAAAAGCAGTCTACCCACTGAGCACTTTGGAAACAGAAAATAAAATTTCCTTCACTGTCTTTCCATGCCTTTAATGACAAAGCTTTGGTGCCAGCTAACAAAGGAAAAACATGGAAATATCCCAGAAACATTTTCAAAAGGCAATCAGTGGGCTGGGGATAAAGCCCGGTGTTTCCACTGCCTAAGCACCCAAATTCGACCAAAAAAAGGCAATCAGTAAGGGTGAATTTGGAGATGATAAGCAGAAAAGGAAAAACAAGTCTGGAATGTTTACATGGTATATTAGCTTCTAAAGGCTGCTGCAGCAAATTAGCACTAAATTAGTGGTTTCAAACAACAGAATTTTTTCCTTACAATTGGGAAGGCTAGAAATCCAAAATCAGGGTGTGGCCAGGATAATGCTCCCTCTGAAAGCTCTGGGGGAAAAAACCTTACTTTGCCTCTTCCAGCTTCTGGTATCTCCTGGCATTCTTTGGTGTCATGATAACTCTAATCTCTTCTATATTCACATGGTCTTTTTCCATGTCAGTCCCTATCTCAAATCTTCTTCTCTGTTCCTTTTTTCCCTATAGTGTGAGAAATTGAACCCAGAGCCTCACCTATATTGGGCAAGCACCCTACCCCTGTGCAACACCCCTATCTCTCTTTTTTTTCTAAGTGCACAAGTCACTGAAGTTCAGGCCCATCCTAAACTCTGGAAGATCTCATTCCAGAATCTTAACTGTATCTTCAAAGGCTCTCCTTCAAGTAAGATTCCATTCACAGGAACCATGCTTAGGACATGGTCACATCTTTTAAGGCAATACAATTCAATTCACTAGATTATCCTTTATTTTAGTCCAGCCTTTAAAATCATATTTATAAAAAGAAAATCACAATTCAATTGATTAGTAATGTTAAAAAGTTTGTTTTCCATGGAAGATAAAAGAAAAGGCATGGGGCTGGGGATTTAGCTCGGTGGATCCGCCGCCTGCCTCACAAATGCAAGGACCGGAATTTGATCCCTAGTACAAAAAGAAAAAAAAAAGAAAAAAGGCAGGAAATCTTGAGGTGGAAGAATAGAAGTGATAAATAAGACTGCTATAACAAACACTATGTAAATATTTGCTCTCTTTTCTTAATTTTTTTAAAATTTCGTTTTATGTTGTTTGTTTGAGGTACTGGGATTTGAACCTAGAGCATTTGCATAGAACTCCATACTTCTTGGCCCTTTTTTATTTTCTATATTGAGATAAATCTCTCTTAAGTCACTGAGTTGCTCAAGCTTGGCTTGAACTTGATATACACTTGTCTTGGCCTCCCAGAGTACTGGGATTACCAGCATGCACGGTCATGCCTGGATTTCTCTTAACTTTAAGAAAGCAAAACTACATAGAATGAAAAAATACATTGTATACATTATAATATGGTAATATATTTCAGAGATTAATATAGGATAAAGGGGGAAGAGGAAGGGAAGCTCTGTAAGAATAGCATTTGGAAAACTCAAAAGAATTAATGTAAAAGTGAAATATATCCCCTCACCCACACACTGGGGATTGAATTTAGGATCTTATGCTTGCAAGGCAGGAATGGTGCCACTGAGCTAAATCCCCAACCCTAAGTGAAGTATATTCTGATAAGCTAAAAGGTACACAGTAAGCCTAAATCAACCACTAAAACACTCCAAAATAAAATAAAAAAATCATTAAAAGTTCTACTAGAATATGGTTACTTAAAGCCAGGTGCAGGAGGCAAATGCAGGAAGATCACAGCTTGAGGCTGTGAAACTAGTAAAAATTAAAATATTAACAATCTGGTATATTCTCAGGAAATTGTCCTAGTGGCATAAATGAAAAAAAAATAATTCAATAAAGTCTAAAACTCAAGAACAGAGAATGTCTATGGAATTTGAAGCAAAACTCACTTAGCCCTCCTCACCCCCAGTGAAGAGGGAATTTCCATTTCAAACTGAAAGATTCAGATGGGCACCTGCCTACAACCCCAACATTCAGGGAGGCTGAAGAATGATCGCTGTTCATTTAAGGCCAGCCTAGGCTACAGAGACCCTGAAAGATCCCATCTCAAATGACAAAATAAATAGAAAGAGTCAAGGAGGTAAAATTTTCCTCTTTCTCTAATTCCCAGTATGAAAAGAGAATGGTATCCTTGCTTGAGGTGACTTTTGGCATGGAGGACGAGAAGGTGGGTGGGAAGGACTTTGGTTTTTGGAGGAAGAGTCCCCCTCCAAAAGGACATTGGAGAGATTTCCTTCAGGAATTTCTGAAGATCTCTCTTCAGGAGTGTCGCTTAGCTGCAGGGTCAATTTTGATGAAAAATCTGTCTAATGTCACTCATTTTTTCCTGCACTGCATAACCCTCCAGGAATGAGAGAC